CCGTGTGAGGCGATCGGCAGAGTCATGAGGAAATTCGTTGGGCGGCAGACGTTCTGGGTGGACGCCAGCAGTTGCGCTTGCAACCCCAGTTTGTAAGGGCCTCAGAGACCAACTTTCCCAACATGGCACCTCACGGCATGCTGCACGCATCCCCCTACCTCTAGGGGTGTTCTTGCCGCTCGCTGTGGTGGAAACCGAAGCAGTGGCTGTGCAGCTGGCCGAACAGACCGTGCGGCTCGCTGAAAAGCGCATCGTCGCCAAAACGCATTGAAAAAAGCGCTGCGCGACCTGTGGTAAGGTGGACGCACAACCAAATACGATTCTTTGCCGTAGAGGCGCATGGTGCCGTGAATCACTGCCGGATGGCAGGCTAAAATGCACCAAAGGAAGCGCACAGCTGCTTAAAGCGGTGCGCTGCCCAGTAATGGCTCTGTAATGGCACAGGGCGAGATACAAAAATATCTATAGGCATGTGCGCCGAGCGATTGTGGTGGTACATGATCCATGTCGACGCAGGGCAGGGTGCTTGTTTCATGAGCACCGAATCGCTGGCTACGGTCGACAAAGACGTGTTCCCACTTCATCACCGTAAAATGGGCGGCCCACGCAAACACAACGTAAATGCAGCCCTTTGTACGTAAGGACAGTACATACAGCCAGCCTTCAGGAGTCCGGGGAGTGGCAGCCAGGCAACGAGCTTTGGTTCCACGCCGCCATGGCCTTTGCCCCGTGCGAAGTCGACGCTGTTTTGCAGGTGCTCGAGGGTGTGGAGGAATGATCACTGCACACGACTTTCATCATGTAACTTGGGGGTGTCACAACGTGCCGAAAAAAAAACAGCCGTGACAAGTAGTCCGTTTTACAAACTTACGTTCTTACGCGTAAAAACGTAAACGCAAATAACAAGCCGGGTTCCAATTTTCACACCCTCCGCCGCCCCTTCGTTTCCACCACCACCCACGGCGGCTGTTTGATAATCGTTGAATAACGTCCCGCGCTTTCCGGAGCCAGGAGCTTTTCCGCCGTTCAGTTGCCCAAGGTTTCGGGCCGCCCCGAAGCTGGCGTCGTGGCACTCACCACCCCATTGCGCATTTCCTGATCCAGGCCTCCCCAAGACTGACTTCCCATGCCGTGCTAGGGCACGTGCGGCCGTGGCACCGCCCTCAAATCGGCCCATCCAATGCGGTCATCACACGATTCGCTGGACGGTCACTGTTTATCGACAGATCGAGTGACTGCCGTATAGATCCTTGTAGGATACCGCCCCCACGATCCATGCCCGCACCAAAATATCCCGCCAAGTACAGGCGGCTGCCGCGCATCGTTCAGCGCCTTGTTCTTGACAGCCAGCGGAGGGCGACGCGCGGGGGCCTCGAGGAGTCGGCCTTCAAGGGCGCGGGGCTTTTGGGCTGCCGCGGTGTTGGGGCCTCTGACTTGCGAGGACTGCTGGAGCTGCGGGACAAGGCGAGCGGGCGGCGGCGCTTGGCGTGCTCGACGGCGTCGGGCGGTTCTGCGGCGGTGGAGGGCGCTGCCATTTTTTGGCGCGAGGATGGCTCTCTCGGGATGGCGGATCTCGGTGCGCCGCGGCGCCTTCCCGGACCTCCGGGAGGGATGCCGCGGGAGGGCGGGCGGTGAATCCGGGAGATTGCAGGCGGGCAGGCGTTCCTACCAGACAGTCAAGATCACCACGCAGGACATGGTCAGGCCGGCGAGGCACCTGGCCCAGGAGCGCGCGCTGGTGCCCATTCCGCGTGAGGAATCCGGCGTCTGCGGCGCGGAGGTGATGGGGCCGCGGGAGGACGGGGAGGGGCTGGTGGGCATGCAGCCGGCCGAGCAGGTCGTGCGGGCGGCAGAGGTCCTGCTGGCCACGGCCTGCGAGGCGTGGGAGGACGTGCCCGCGCGGCACCGCGTGGTGGCGGCCTCCTCCCTGGCCTTCGTGCTGTGCAACCTTGACAAGGTGAACATGAGCGTGGCCATCATCCCCATGGCGCGGGAGTTCGGCTGGGGCGCATCCGTGGCCGGCCTGGTCCAGTCGGGCTTCTTCTGGGGCTACATCCTGTCCCAGCTGCCGGGCGGCTACCTGTGCGGGCGCTTCAGCGGCAGGCGGGTGCTGCCCGTGGGTGTGGGCATGTGGGCACTGGCGACGGCATCCGTGCCTGGCGTAGCCACCACGCTGCCCGGCCTGTGCCTGGCCCGCGCGTCCGTGGGCCTGGGAGAGGCCGTGGCGCCGTCGGCCATCACCGACATGGTGGCCCATTCCGTGCCGGCGAGGGAGAGATCCCGCGCGATTGCCTTCATCTTCGGCGGGCTTCACGTGGGCAGCATCCTGGGCCTGGTCCTGGCGCCCTACCTCATCGAGCACTTCGGCTGGCAGGCGGTGTTCTTTGTGTCCGGGGCGGCGGCGGTCACGTGGGTGGTGTGGTGGGAGCGGCTGGTGGCCGAGATGGCCGAAACGGACCCCGAGGTGCACCGGCTGATAACCCAGACTGTAAAAGGCCGTGACGGGAGGCAGCCCGAATGGGCCAATGCGCAGGTCCCCTGGAGGGCGATCTTGAGATCCGAGCCGGTGAGGGCGCTCATGTTCACCCACTTCTGCAACAACTGGTTCCAGTACACCTTCATGGCCTGGCTGCCGTCCTACCTGACCGACACGCTCAGCCTGGACCTCACCCGCGCCGCCCAGGTGGCCCTCCTGCCCCCCCTGGCCGGGATCCTCACATCGTCCGTGGCTGGGCCGATGGCCGATGCCCTGGTGCAGCGCGGGTGGAGGACTTCGGTCGTGCGCAAGCTGGCGCAGTGCACGGCGTTCCTGGGACCGGCGGCTTGCCTGGCGGGCGCCACTTTCGCCCATGATGGGGTGGAGAAAGTGGGGCTGATCACCACCGCTCTGGGGCTGTCGTCCTTCGCCATGGCGGGTCTGTACTGCAACCACCAGGACCTGTCCCCTAAGCATGCTGGCTTCCTGCTGGGCCTGACCAACACGACTGGCGCGGTACCCGGGATCTTTGGCGTGTTCTTCGTGGGCTACCTGTTTGATCGGACGGGGTCCTGGCCCATGGCGCTTTTCCTGCCGTCCATTCTGTGCTTCATCGCGGGGTCGTTCGTCTTCGCGCGGCACGCCAGCAGCGACCTGCAGCCATTCGAGAACGATGAACCTTTCGAGTTTGAGAAGCGCCTAGAGGGGATGCTGCCTTGGAGGAAGTGAGGAGGAGTTCGATGGAGGAGAGGGCTGCGGCCTCTGCCTGTGGCCCGGCACGAAGGGCGGGAGTTGGGGACAGTGAGTTGAAAATTTTCACGGCTCTGTTGCTCTGTTTTCTTTGAGAGTCAGGCTCGGCAAAGAAAGAGAAGCTTTGCTGGCTTCCGAGTTTGCCAGAGAACAAACTGAGAAAAATAAGGACTAATGACTGATCGATGTTGGATGCTTGTTGAACCGTGTAGTTTAGAACTGGCCATCCGTGCCAATGCAGATGACTGGACTTTCTGTGGTTCGGCTGAGTCTCGCCCAGTGTGGCAGTTGTGAAAACTCAGTCATTATTGATGGTGGTGATAGGAGCAAGGGAGAGACAGTCCAGACTGGTACAGGGCCCTCGTGTCAATCAGTTATTTGCTTTTGTGTTTTAAGAATTAAGTCACTTGGTGGAAATCCAGTGTTAGGCAGGGGTGTGGGGGCATCATGGGAGATCAAGAAAACTTCATCTCTGGTTTGAAACCATGGTTTGCGTGGCAGTGTGCTCTTCGATGCACTGGTTGAATTGTTGGCAGATCTGAGGGTGGCCCAGCTGCCGGCCTGCTGGGGGGCCCTGCTGCTGCAGTAGGCGCTCAGCATGCTGTGCCAACCCACAAAAGAAACTGATGAGGCAGCGCAGCAATGCGCTTTGTGGTATGAGAGGCGTTCCCGAGTTTAGCACACGACGCATGAATGGCTTCTGAGTGTCTGTGCCCGCAGGGGGGAAAGGGGAACACCTGAACGGGATTCTAATGCATGAAACATATATATGTAGAGGTAGCTTCGCTTTGTGGCCTGGGATCTGTTGCCCTCCGCAAGTTCTATGTGGTGGGACCGGTTGAGGAGCTGGTGTGTAGGCAGGGACGAATGAGAAGATATCTGTCACGGTGTTCTGAGTTGAAGAATTTCAGTCGGATAGTGGCTCCTGTGTGGAGGCACGTGGGCGTTCGGCTGGCCCTTTTTAAGACCATGACTTGGGCATCTGTTGCAGCCATTGCGGGCTGTCTTTGGCTGGCACAAGGTGGCGCGTTGACGTATTCCCAAAGCCATGAACTCATTGGAATGAAGTGATCGACTGTGTGACTCGCTCCTTTTGGTGGGCAGACCATGGAACTGGACGAGAAGAGGCTTTTCCCAATCGTAGGCCGCGCCGTTCCTGGTATGTACGAGATTGCACTGGTGACAGACTGCCTCTGTCACTGGGTGGAACGCTCACAACAGACCCCTTCATCAATCGCATCTTTTACATTTTGACAAATTACAGGCGAACAACGAAGCGCTGCGTGCATCGAACACGGCTGTAACAAGGATAATACCGGCATAAATTAAAGAAATCAAAAAAATCCACGGGACCTCCGCATCCAACAGAGAAGCAAGCACAGATGTATACCGATGGGGGTATTCAGAGGCATACTCCCATACGCCATTTCTCATCACACTTCCTATCGAAACACATCTAAACGCGCTGAAGCAAGCAATTGCCACATCATGTCTTGGCTGCCAGTCAGTGACACAGAGCGCAATCGAATCCCACGACCTACAGACTCTGCCCTTTCAACCTCTTTCTACCGAATCCAAAGATCATTTGTTGCAAGTAGCTGGCCGACGGCAACCTGCCCAGGAAGCCTGCCTACACTGTCGAAAGAATTCTGCCCAGTCGTCAAACTGCCCTGCCCCTGACCTATCCCACGCTTCCACGGGTTCCACACATCATTTGCTCCTGGCCCAGCGGAACACGGCCACGCTGCATTGCATAAGGTTCCAAGCCGCAGAATCAGCGGCGCTTCTCCTTGACGCGGGCTGCAGATGGTTTGCGGGACTCCTCGATGACGATCGACGCCTCCAGGTAATGGTTGGCACCATTCCAGATGGACGATGCGGTGGTGATGAGAACAAGCGCTGTGTGGGCCCAAGGAGAGTACCAGAAGACGACGCTGATGGCCATGGAGAACCAGCAAAGGAGCGAGTGGCAGGCCATGTACAACAATGGCTGCAGGCGGGTCGGATACCTGGATGCAACGAAACTGCAGGAGGTCAGATACTAGACAGAGTTGCTGAATCAGTGAGTGAACCAATCGGCCCACGTTCGATCACTCGATGGACGAATAAATCAAGATTAGAATCAGCTGGCACTTGTGATAAAAACAGGGACCGTGCCATGACTGCCCTGGATTATCAAGATTGTCTGCTCCTCAAGCAAGCCCAACTGCAGCGTTGCATAACTGATCACTACATCTGCGCTGAGTGCCTTGTCAAAATACCACCAGTAGCTGCCCTTACACCAGCTGGGGCATGCTGGCTGCTGTCCAACTGGAGCAGTGCTCGCCTCCAGAGCTTGCATAAACTTCCCAACCCAAGAAACTTGTAAAACAACGCAACAAAGGTATCGTTGCTCAGACAGGTTGGCGTGGGGTTTCACGCTGCATATCAAGCCACTCTGGGGCAGTACCACAAAATGTGCTGCTGTTGCCCTAGCCCCAGCGACAAACAGCTCATTCCACAGGTCTTCCTGAAGTCACATCCTGGAAGCCTATTTGCACCCAGAACTTTTGTGTATGAGTCACCCACCTATGCATGAATTTCTCGCAAAGTGCGTGCTCCGTTGTCATGTACTTGTAAAGAGTCTCATAACCCCTTTGTTCAATCCTCTTGGAAGAAAGAACAAAAATCTTCAAGTAGTACAACGCAGCCCACACAAAATATGGTGCCATTGGCATGACAGCCAAGTAGAACAAGTCATTACTGCTCCACCTTTCGGCCAAGTTTGTCCATTCCCACCTGCACAACAAATGACGTCCAGATCAACATAACGGCATGCCTGCATCTATACTAGCAACATTGCTCCGATGAAAGTTGGCCCTTTTCAACGGGTGGAAGACATCTCCAAACCAAGGTTTATGTAACAAAAGGCAGCGCCTGGATGCGAAGAACTAACACGCAACAATTACCCATGAGCAGCCTGGCTATGGATACATACAGCGCCCATCTGCAGCTGCTGCCATTTCAACCCATCGGTCAACAAATCAAGGGAATGCTCACCAGCAGGACACCAGTCAATCCACCCCAATCCAATTGTCAGAGGGTGGCAGTCCTGAATGCAACTCTTAATTGTCTGTTCTTCCTTCAGGATGATCTCCACTTGCTAAATACCGATACAAGTTAGAGAAGCAACGAAACAAACACTAGAGATAACAAACAGGCCAAAGGCCCTCACTGCCCAATTGGAATGAGGGTTTGACACTGGCCCTCTATGAAGCAAAAGTTCAGAGCAGAGAGCAGGCAAACGACAGTAAGGCTCACCATCCAGCTGTTGTCACATCGCAGGTGCTGTACATGTCACAGGCGTCCTGGTCCCATCGCAGGCTCCATGTCACAAGCATCGGGTACCAATGGACAAACAGCGATGTCCACTCATACACGCTGTGGAAAACGATGGAATTCTGAAACACCACAATGGACCAGGCCAAAGGGCCTGTGTTGTACGCAAACAATGCCTGCAGACAGCACAACCGCCGTGAGCTACATGTGCAGCAGCTATGAGTTGAGGAAACGGAGTTATTGCTTTCGTCATGGGAGCCCGTGAGTGCGCATCCAAGGGAGCTCGTGCTGGCTAATCTGTTGAACAGCCCATATCTGCACCCATTACCATCAAACTACCAAGTCACCTGGCAAGCTCAGCAACACTGCAGATGCTACCACGTTAACATCAAACCAGAAGGGGAGCAGGCGGCTCACCTTGTGCAGCCAGATGCACTGCGGCCATAGCCACAGAAAGCCCAATAACAGGGCATTGGCAGCATAGCAAAAGTCCAGCATGTAATAGTGCTTCTTCTCTCGTTTGAAGGTAACCCAACGAGTGGTGAAGAGGACCATTGTCTCTGCAGTGTACAGCTGGTAGAATGTGCTCCTCGAAGAGCCCAACCAATAGAATATCAAACTGCACCCCACAACAGCAACTGTGTCAAAAAGCAACATGGCAATGAGGTGTGCACTCCCCATTGGTCCAAAAGGGCAATAGATACCAGCCTCTCAATGTTTGGGCCAGCATCTACTGCGTATAAGGACTGTACCAAATTTTGTCTTTTTGCAATAGAAAGGAACCTTGTCACAGAAGGCGATTCCCACCCTGGCAAGAACTGTGAAGAGGGACTCTTTTCCATTCTGCAAGATGTCAGAACACTTAAATTGTAGAGGGAACACCGTGCAACAGGGAGCTAATGCAACAGTAGGAACAAACCGTTTCTCTTTGGGTACAAACTAAATCAAAGCAAAAATTAGGAGCATTTGTTTCCAGCGTTCAGCATAACGAAACGTGAACAAAAGAACCTGGCTACTGCAGGAAATCCCCCCCTCCCCTGTCCTTTCGGGCCTGGAATGACTCTTCACGACAATTTTCCATGCTGTGAAAAGTGATGCAGAAGTGTAACAGTCAGTTGAGGCAGTTCCACTCCAGGTAACACACCAACAGAGGCCACCCGTAGCAGGTCGATACGAGGGTGATCAACCTATGGCGGCACACGAACAGCCACTCGTCGATGGTCAAGGACGGTTACCACGCAGTCGACAACTGCGGTTACTCAATCCATTGATCTCTTCATCCTGTCACCAACGGCGTTGATGACAGTTTGCGGGCGTATAGACGGACATCCAGAGAGGACAAGCGCGAACATTCTGCCCCTCTGTCTTATGCGCAGCCAGGTCACTCACCACAGATTGGCGGTGCCAATGGCGAATCCCAACTTTGACAACCGTGCACGCTTCCCAAAGTAGGATTCAGCCGCCTTGGGCGCCGCGGCAGCGCATTCCACTTGGTTCTGAGATGAGGTCTCCCGGACTTCCGCGACCTGGAGCGGCAATCCATCCCCCAGTTCAGTCTCCCTCCCCGCACCTTCCACCGCGCCACATATTCAGCACCGACAAAAGGGTGAGGGCAACACCACAGGCCGAAGAGCAGCGCGCGCGACACGCTGCGCAATTCCCAACAAGCAGCACCTGTCCGTCTCGACGAATGGGATATTCAGACGGTGCGGCCGGCGCCCCGACGTCCGGCTTCGCGACGGCCACAGCCTCCGCCACCCCTCCGAGCTGCTCGTTCGCCTCAGCCAACCGCCTAGGGGCCCTCCAAGCCGCGTAGGCGTCGCGTCCGCTCGTCCCGCAGGCCACCGGCGCCATCACAGCCGTCGCCATCCCAAACTCCTCGCCACACCCCGCGCCAAATCCCTCGCGCTGCAGTTCGCGGGAATCGGAGCCAGGCGAGTCAGACGCCGCTACCCGCGTCTGGGCATCCCAGCGGTGGGCCTGAAAGCTTGGCTGCCGCTTCCGGCAGCCGTTTGCTTGGGCGCAAAGGGCCCCTTTCTGGCGGCGTCCTGGGGCTTTGCGCTGCCGCCCCGCCGCATAAAGCGGGGGATTGTCCCCGCAGCCCGCGCGAGAATATTCGACCGCGCCCCTGCGGGGCCGTGTGTGGCCCTGCTAAGAAATTTGCGAGCGGGAGAGAACAGGAAGGGGGCACCCCTGACGTCAGTCCCTATCGGACGCGGATCGGACCACACTGTACACCGTACATGCATACTACACTATACTATACACGCTGAACGCACTTGCACTGTACTGGATTGCGCACTGCTGACTGCGCTACCGTGTATGTCCGTCTCATAGCCGTGCGCACCAAGGAGAGGCATCTTTTACCAGCCTCGGTGCTGCAACCCCGGGCTGCAACCTCTAAGCGCGAAGCGGCCGCCAGGGCGCGAAAAGAGGCGCCGGAGCGTCGATGGAGTTTTCGGCCAGGCTGCGAGGGGGACTGGCGATCGGCCGGGCGTCGATCCCCGAGCTGAGGTGGCGTCGGGGCGGTTGCGCGACTCAGGTGCATGCCTGCGGCGGGCCGCGGTTTGTGGGGCGCGTCGCATCGCGAGAGGCGGGGAAGCGCGGGAGAGTGGCGGCACGGGCGGCCGAAACGGGGGCCGAGCAGGCCACTGCGAGGCGGGAGGCCAACGGGAGCGGTCGCCAGCTGGTGGTCGCCGTGGACGACTCGGAGGTGAGCTGAGCTGTCGCAGGTCTGCGCGTGTGTCGTCGCTCTTCACGTTTCCACTTTTCGTGTACCGTGCTCTGACGGTACGCGGGGGCCCGCCCGAGTCGCTTCGTTGCGCTTTGGGCGCCGTGCGAATCGTGTGAACGTTGTCGGAGGGCGGTTGCGGGCAAGTTGAATTCAAGACAGGTTTTGAAGTACGGGTTTGCGGGAAGGCAGAAGGGGCGTGCGCCTGGACCCCAAAGCGTCGACACCGTGACTTGCGCGACTGGTCGGCGCGCAAGCAGTGCTTCTGCGCGTTGCCAAGCGTCCCTGGACCCGGTTGGAATCGTCTTCGGGCGCTTGCGGGGGATGCCTTGGTGCCGGACCCCGGTTTAGTAACGTCCGAGTTCGCGACAGTCAACAGCGGGCAGACGGGGTCCGCCGTGCCTTGGGGTGTTGCAATTTGACGGCTCGCATTGTTTGTGCGGCTCGCAGGAGTCGGAAAAGGCGTTGAGGTGGACCGTGAACAACTTCTACCGATCGGGTGCGTTGGCGGGCTTCTGATGCACGTGCAAGGGGGTCTTAGGATTGGGGTGCCGAATGCCAGGCATCGCCATACGTCTGGGAACGTCTCTGACGTTCAGGGCAATAGCTTTTGCATTCGTTTGTCTGTCAGCAACGCGTGTAGTATGGCGTTGTGCACGAGCACAGACAGCGATTGGCAGCGCTGAGATGCTGGCATGCATGGCTCATGCGTCCAGACTCCCTTTTCCACACTGAGAGAAGGGTGTCCATTCAAAACAAAAGCCCAAAGGGACGGGGTGAGTCGATCCAAAGTTTATGTTCTCTTTCGCAGATGTTGGTCCCACAATTGCATGGGTGGCAAAGTGACGTTGTCAACCTCCACTGCATACCCTCCCTGCCCCCAGACCATGTCTGTCGCCAGATGCTGTGCTTTCGACTCGTCTATGGATAAAACGCGCTCGACTCATTCTCCTTTATCCCTCCCCCATGTCCACAACTTGACGTTTGTGTGCCCACTCAGGTGATGTCATCCACATTCTGCACGTCATTCCTTTCCTTCCTGGCCAAGCTGTCGCTGGGGCAGTTTACTACTCTCCACCTCCATCTGAAGAAGTGCAAGAGCGCTTGGTACAGATGGCGAAATGCCAATCCCAAGTTCACTTCAGAGAATGGATGGACCATTGTGCTGTTCACCAAAAATCGTGTTGGAATGTGCCATGGGCAGTTCTATGCCTCTGGTTGACAGATCTGCTGGAAGCGCTAAATGTTTCAACGTCAAATGGCTGCCCATTCAGCTGAAAGGTCGCAAAGACTATGTTTTCTGCATCATTTGCTTGAACCAGGGTGTGCCACGTGCTTCATGCAGTCGTTGTGAATGACATTCCTGCTGTGAAACTTAGATGCTCAAATTTGATCAGCAATGGTCGAATCTGTGTGCTGTTTGTGCACATTTGGGGGTTCCACAATGGCGGACAAGACCTTCCTGCAGCTACCTATGTTCTCCCGGCGTGCCTGAACGGAGTCTGCTGAGCTCAGTAGTTCGTCATCGTTGCAGGATCACAGCAGTGCTCTCCAGTGCCCCAGCTTCCCATCTTGAATGGACGTAGCAGTACAAACGCTCAACAGATTATTGGTGCTATAAATGTGCCACCTGCATTTCACTGAAATATCCGTTGACGCTGCTTTCCTTGGGCAAACAAGGGGGCTGACAGCTGGCATAAAATTACTGGCTGCACCAAATCGGTGACTGCCTGCACCAAGTCACGTGCACATCATGTCCAACTCCGTCAAAACTAACCTAACCTAAACCCTAAACCCTAAACCCTAAACCCTAAACCCTAAACCTAACCTAACCTAAACCTGTCCTAACCCTAACCCTAACCCTAAGACTCAATCTGAAACTAAACCTAACCCTAAAATTGAGGTTAGGACAAAGTGTGCACGTGACTTGGTGCAAGCAGTCACCGATTTGGTGCGGGCAGTAATATTACTTCCTGACAGCTGCCTTCCAGCGGTAATGCAAAGCCTGTCTATTTATTGGAATAATTGTGTTCCCCTCATCGCACGCGGTGGCTTGCCTCACAGGTCGACGATGCAGAGGAGTTCATCGACAGCAGGTTTAGGCCGCTGCTGGAGTCGCTTGGCATTTCCTACGAGGTGGACGTCATACAAGAAGAGAGCTCGGAGACCATAGGCGAGGCAGTGTGTCACTCCGCTGTCGAACTTCGCGCCTCCGCCATCGTTGTGGCCTCACACAAGAAGAGTGCTCTGGCGACGTTTATTCTAGGGTCGAGCAGCAGGGAGGTCGCTGGCAAGTCAGACTTGCCTGTGCTTGTGTTTCATGGCTGAGGTGTGGTGTGGCCGAGCACCTAATTTTTGGACCATATCTATTGCAGGAAAACGAGGAGAAGAAAATGTGTAGCGGGGACAATTTTGGTGGACGGATTGGGCTGAGAAACTCGAGAAGACAATCGATTTTGTGAGTGTGACGGGGGCAAGCTCACAGGGCAGTTTTTGCTGCGAGTGAGCACTGCAAGCCGCGCTACCTGGGATCTAGGGTGCCCATGTTGCGAGTCCACTGCAGTGCAGCGAGCGGCACGAGCAGGCGGTCACCTCCTGCTCTGGAGGTGTCTCAACCAGGGCACAACGTGCGGTGCACACCGGCGTACAGTTTTTTTCCCTCCCAGTACGAAGGGGGCTCGAGGGCAGTGCAGCAGCCCACGTAATGTGCGGCAATCCAGGTTGAAGTGTGGCATGAAGCAGTGAGTTGGCGACGCTTGATGTGGTTTTATGCATGTACGTCGATGTGTTACGATCTGTTGAATGTTCAATGTAGATTAAAACTACCTTGCTGGGTAATGCATCCACAAATGTGCATGCTGTGCTCGGTGTTTGTGGGCCATTGTGGGATTGCATGTGGGCAATTTGCAATTGGTGGGCGTGCAGCCCTTGGAAGCTCTACCTCCTATTGGGATCTGGGTTCACGACTGTCCACACCGCACGCTGGCGGAATTTGTCCATTATGCGCACTATGGGTCTGAAACGTGTTAGCCGCTGAGATCTAGTCCCATCAACCAGCTTGGGAGAAAATCTCATGAAAGATCTTACAGTCTCTGTCGTTTCAACCATGGATCCTCATC